CAGGAATTACAGGGTTAAATGTGCACTCTTGAAGATACCAATGTTATTTTTTTCCTTCCTTGTTTTCCATCTCTTGTTTTATATGTGCTCTCAATATGATTGTAATACTCTTGGAAAGTTATTAAACATTTGACTCTAAGTCTGCTTCTGGCTTCTTTCTCCTTTGATGGATCCTTTAAATTGCACATATTAGTGCTTCAGAAAGTGCTGAAGAATTTCTTTAGGAAAGCAGATGTTAGAATTTGCCTCTGAATGTGACTTTGATTGGCACCCTCACTGTTCAAGGGATGGCACAGACATGAACATCAGGAATCTAGAGAGATGAAAAATACTAAGGTTTCCATAGAGGAGGCAGACTGTCTCCAGTGCTTGAAATTTGCGGTACTCTACCTATGACAAAAACTCATGGTGTTCACTTTTAGTCTGTGGAAATGGGTTTTTCACTCCCTTCTTGAAACTATTTTCGCAGCAGTGACAAATTTGATCTTAATCTGCCTATTAGGGCACAGGTCTACTTGCTGTGTAGTTAACCAACTCAGATGAGCTCTCATCCAGGCCTTTTGCAGCTACTTATAGCAAGAGATGCACAATAGTGTTCCAGCTGCCAAATTGTCCTGTTCCCCAGGGATCAAAGGGGAGATTTGGCAAAGCAGCATAACGGGACCGGAAGTCTTTTCCTGTGCTGAAGCTGCCCTCCCCTTTCTCAAACCAATCTGCCTTTGTTGTGGAAAGGCTTTCAGAGGGGAGGCTGCAGACCTCCACCAGTAACAGAGAATTTGGGAGCAGCTGATGCCTTTCCTGCCTGGACCACAGTCTCCCACAGCTGCTCTGGTGGGTAGGTACCTAAGGCAGGTCCTGATCCTTCCCTGCTGCTGGGCTGTGCAGTGATTTAGGAAGACTTCACTGTCCCTATTGTCCCGTAAAACAAGGCTGGTCTCTCCCAGGAAGAAGAGAGCCTGTTGTGGGACATCTGGGCTTAATCCTGACCACTGACTCTCCACCTGGTTTCAAGGTTTGGCATGTCTGTACCCTCACAGTCCGCAGCTCCTCTGTATGGACCCTGCTTTATCTCTGTGGCACCTTTAAAGCTAGTGGGCTTTGACCTGGAGGCGCTGCCATGTGGTGCTGGATTGCACTTGCAGAAAGCTTTCTGGAGGAGACCTTTCCAATTTTTATAGCAGCTGAATAGCATGGTAGCTCTAAGGAGCCAAGCCAGGGAAGCCCGTGTGGGAAGGCACCATCCATCTTGCTTTGACATCTGTCAAGTCTTGGCTGGACTTGAGATTAAGTTAAGTGGAATCGCATGGTGCTGTGTACCAAGGATTGGCCTTAATGAAGCCCATGGTGAGGTTTTCCTGCCACATTTGCAAAGCTTGCCAGGGCTGCAAGGGAGCTGCTGAGGGAATCTGCCAGATCCCAGCAGCCTTTCCCGCAAGCCTGGCCTCAGGATTGGGTGTTCCTGGTGGTTGGTGGTGGCCAAGCACTCGCCAGGAGCTGCTGCTGCCTTTCCTTGCCCCACTGGGGTCTGCTGAAGTCACCCCTTGTCCCTGAGGAGCTGGTCTTACTCTGAGTGAGTGACCTTAATGCGTTAAGAGGGGCTGGGCTCCCCAGGGCCCCAGGCTGGCTGCCTCCATGGAGAGATTAGATGGGCCCTACTGCCAATTCCTGCCCAGTCTCTAGGAGCTCTGCCAGCAGATCTGCTGGAGTAAACTCCCAGCTGCAAACCCTTGCATCCATGGGGACCCTCTGTCTACTTTTTAATAGGAAACAAAATACTGAACCTTCCTGTTTACTTGCTGCACAAAGTTGACCATCATCACATACTGGCTCTTTCCTTTAGGGTCAGATGGTGGTGGATTTATGTGGTGGCTTATAAAGAAATCTTCCTCTCCTACTCCCTGTCTCCCATCAAAACTTTAACCATCTCACTGAAGGTGAGTGAAGTTTGGATGCTCTTCCTCTGGGAGAAAAGGACGCTGCTTGGTGGAGAGGCCGGAAAGTCACAGGCATCCTTTCCACAGCCATTTCCCAGAGTAAATGAGCATGAGCAGAACTCCTGTGATGAAGCACTCAGCTTCTTGCTGCTTTGGTCATGGCTCTTGCCCTGCCTAGGACACAACATCCTCCTCCATGGGAAGAGTGGGGGAAACAGAAAAGATGTGGGTGCAGAGATGGAAGCCTACCCTGTGGTGGCTAATGCCTGTGTGCTCAGGGCCTGTCCTAGTGTCAGATGGGGTGAGCAGAGGGGCAGTCCTGGTTTGGTGCATGCAGCCTGCGGGGAACAGGTCTTAAATGTCTCCTGATTCACCTTTCTTTGGGTAGCCTGCTCTTTCGTTCATGCCTGCAGCCTTATTGCAGCTCATGCCTAGTGGGAGAGAAAGGAATCCTTCTTCATGGGGAGCACTGGATTCAATCTGGGGCCTGCCCAAAGATGAGTTTTCCTTGCCTTTGCTGGCTGTTCACCTTCCTCTTCCACTGGCTGGCATAGGGTCTTGCACTTTGATCAGGACGTAAATGCTGGGAGCCTGCTTTCTACATCAAAGGCAAAGCTTCCCTTTGAAATCTGGGCTGCTTCAGGACCTTGGAGCAAGGCACAGGCTCGGACCGAGCTGGGGAAGCTGGTGGGCACCATGCAGGGTGAGGTAAGGCTGGGACATCCTTTGGCACTGGTGGCTCTGCTGGGCAGGTGGCAGGGAGCAGAGACAGGGTTTTCCTGGAGAGCTTCCCATACGTTTGCTCCATGCTGGGGCAGGAGCAGTCTGGGTGAGAGTCAGGCCTTGGTACAGGCTGCGTTTCCTTGCTGCGGGCACT